TTCTACAGTTACCAAAGTGACATACAAATAAAGTAGGACAACCCTATAAATAAATATACATTCAAACAAACAAAAATAAATTATCATGTCATATCTATAACAATAATTTGTTGATAACTTCGGGCATTTGCATGTGTGACTATACTAACCATACAACTGTATAAACGAGTAGAAAAGTAGCGCATTTTCACGTCCAATTTATTGAACGCTCGAGCACACAAACACACAGTGATCAATTATTCTTACATGAACCACTTTCCCTTGTAAAATAATAAAAAGATTCTGAATTATGGAAACTTATTTTTTTCTATTTCAGTTAACAAATTACCTTTTTCTTTTATATATTATTTATTCACACAAAAATATTTATCACCAATATTTGTAATGAAAAATTTTTGACGATTAAATCTATAGTGGATTTTCATGTTCAGTTTTTCTTTTGTTTGAAATTTTACAAAAAAAAATTAAACATTTTAATAATAATTTATGACGTGTACTATTCATTTTAAACTTACGTTCTTTCATAATTTATTAATTATGAAAGAACGTAAGTTTTAGTATTTTTGTTACTTAACAAATCAATCGCATCACACATATATATTGGCGGACCTCGCATAGTCCGAGTAGTAGGATTATGCGAGGTACTAGGACTGATCGTTACCGTACTATTGATCTATAATCAATAAGGTAAAATGACAAAGCCCTTTAGACAGTTGTCATATATTTTAGCTTATGTGGACAATATACAATTTTATTCAATTTTTTTTTTCATTAAAATTTTATTTTTATCAAACAATTTTGTTAGTAACGTTTCTCAACATAAGGGTCACGTAAAAAAGAAATGGGCGCAAAATGACAGCTGTCACTTCATGTCAAAGCAAGTAATGCTCTTAGAAATTGGGTCTCAACAACAATAACAAATATATTGAGCTACGAGGCGGAAAAGTTAAGAAACGCTTTTGTAGAGTATTACGACACTTGTAAGTAAGGCTTTATGTAACAATGTGAAACATTACTTCCTCGCAACATGTCATTTTTAGTGTACGTTTTATTATGAACGAAGGGATGAGAGATTTTCATGTCATATTGGCATTATGTATTTTTTTTTCAATAAACTTTTTTAATAAAAAAAAATACAAATATATCTTAAGGGTTACGTACACATTTTAATAGATAGCAAGTGACAGCTGTGACCTTGTGTCAAAGGGATGAAACACTTTTAGAAATTGGGTACAACAACAAACAAATATATTGAGTTACGAGGCGAAAAGGTTGAGAAACACTGTTATAGAGTATTACGACAGTTGCAAGTAAGGCTTTATGTAACAATATGAAACATGAAATTACTTAATGTACGTGTGATAATGAACGAAGAGAAGAGAGATTTACATGTGATATAGTATTATGTCTGTTTTTTTTTTAATAAACTTTTTTTAGTAAAAAAAAAATTAAGGGTCACGTACACATTTGAATGGCTAGCAAATGACAGCTGTCACCATGTGTCAAAGGGATGAAATTCTCTTAGTTCAACAACAATGTCAAATATATTGGGTCGCGAGGCGAAAAGGTTAAAAAAAAACGCTGTTATAGAGTATTTCGACAATTGCAAATACTTGTTAAATTGCTTAACGAGTAACATGTGGTGAGCAACGGGCTTTATGTAACAATATGAAACATGACTTTATTTCCTCGCAACGTGTCATTTACAATGTACGAGTGATAATGAGCGAAGGGATGAGAGCAGTTACGAGTTGCTGGGTCATCGACCTACCGAAGCCCACGCAACATTAAGCAATTCACCAAATCAGAATACGTAACTGTGCTCCGCTACGCATGCAAGTTGCAAATTGGTTCCGCCGAAAAGAGAGGTCCCTCGGCTATGCGAATTGTCGATTTGAATTCCATTTTCGTTCGGGGTTTTCCTGCTTTCCCCGTTCCAAGCGAAAACGGTCGAAAGGGCGTGGTCCCGAGGCCCGGGAAAAACGCGTCCCACAGGATAACACTTAGCCAGGAGGCACAGATACAGGAAACGACCGAGCGAAAAAAAAAGCGAACCCGGAGTTGCAGGAACGAGAATCCTGCGAGAGTCTTTATATTATTCAAGAGGATTTCTTTTTTTGTTCTCTTCTTTCGGAACAAAACCGCTCTTCAAAGGGGTTGGGGGATACTTGTACCTACGGAATCCACAGTATTTTATGTAGAGAATGTGTCTAATTGTAATCGATTTTAGCATTAGCCGAAGGGATTAACATGCGATGAAATGTTTTCGAGTTGAAAAGCAAACCCCTCGAAATACCCAAAAAGCACTATCGCAACTTCAATTAATCCCCCCCGATTAATTTCACTTACAACAACGGTTTCCCCCCACAACAAATAAACAAACAAAGCCAATCCTAAATTGCTTATGATCCTTAATGCAATTATGCCAATACCTCAAATAGTTCGGATTCATTATTTGTTTGAAAACAAATTTTAATGGATTTGACGATTACCCGGACTATGCGAGGTATTTTTGTAGGCTAGCACTTTGTTTGTTGTGCAAAAAATTACATAGGTAAACATTGTTACATAACAAAACTTTAAGTTGTAGATAACAACTAAAACAGTATATGTTTCCTTTATAAACCCTGATACTGTTTGAATCAGATTTGATGGTCTTCTCTCCACGTTTTGTTGATTACGTCCTAAGAACGTCCTCTACGTTTCCTGATTGTAATCTCAGCCAAGTTACACAAGCTTTTGATATGAGAGGGATCCAGAACAAAGCGGAAACATCTTGTCTGCTGCTTTAATAAAGCCCATTAGTAAACATCTAAAATTACTCGCGGATTCTGCAGAAGCGGAACTCTTAACTCTCCAGAGTTTTCGCTCAAATACATTTCCAGTCCCTCACATATTCATTTACCCATTCTCATCCATAACACTCACAAAAAAAAAGCCTCCGGTTTTACTATTCAAATTGCTCAAAGTATTTATGCTTATTATCATAAACAATGATTGCATTTGATTAGATTGACAGTGTAGTGTGTAGAGGCAAGGAGCGGTGGGACTAATGTTTGAAGACAAATTTGAATACGAAATTGGCGATACCCAGAGGAAGTTACGCAACGGGCAATTTGTGAAGATGTAGTCTCTAAATTGTCGGTGATAGGATAATAAAAAGGAAAATAAACGGATATCCCACCGCTGCTATTAATTATAATATCCGTCCAGGGTATTTCAGGGCTCCGACGCTCTCTGCATATCCCGCAATCAAATGAACGCATTTCCATTTGCATCGAACCTTTCGGTATATAAAAAATAATCGGTTTTAAGAATCGTTTTAGTTTTTCAATTACTTTATCAAATTTGATACTTCGGATTTAAATGATATAATATGTAAATATTTATGTAATATATTATACGTTAACATTTTGACTTGAAACCGCATTATCTAAAAAATATTAACAAAATTCGAAGAAAAAATTTACTTTTATTATTTGATAATATAATAACTATAAAATCGAATTCAATTCAGTAAACTTTATATTATTATGAATAAAATAATCACCTTTTCTGCAATGTTCAATAGTTTATACATACTAAAAAAAAACTTTTTGTAAAATGTTAAATTGTTTTTTTGTAAAAATTAGATGAAAGAATAAAGATTAATTATTTGCGCAAGTGAAAATATTAGGACTAGGTTTTATAAATCAATATATATTCAATATATACTATTTAAGAAAAAATCATAAAATAAATATGTGTAAGTTTCAATTGTAATAATTTTGTATATAGTTTTATATTTTTGTTATTATTTGATAATAGTTTTGTACTTCTAAAATATAAACATGAAATACGTCAAAAAAAAATGTAAAATAAGTATAATTTTTTCTAGTATTTAAATTATATTATTTATTTTGTGTAAATTGTAAGAAAAATTTTAGATTTGTTATTTGTAGATCACAAAACGATAAAATTTAGTTCAATTCAGTAAGTTTTATAGTGAGCATTTCAAGTTTTAAATGCATAACTTAGTAAATGTGTTTGTAAAATAAGTATAAATATTATTAGTGTTTGGTGAAAATTGAAAAACCGATTTAAACCTTTTTTTAAATCATACTTTATTAAAAAAATTATACAATTTTCAGTTATAATTTTGTATGTAGTTTTATATTTTTGTTCTTATTTTGTAATAGTTTTGTATTTCTAAAATACGTAATACGTGAAAATTGTGAAATAAGTATATCTAATATTTAAATTATATTATTTTTTTGTCGAAATTTATTTTGTATTAATTTTAAGAAATTTTTTAGATTTGTTATTTGTAGATCACAAAACGATAAAAGTTAGTTCAAGTAAGTTTTATAGTGAGCATTTCAAGGTTATTGTTTTTGCTTATTATATGTATACATTTACCGACTATGTACTTTTACCGTAACATATACATTTTGCTATAATTAAAATTTAAAGTTTGTAAAAAATAGTATAAAGTATTTTTATAATAATTGAGAAACCGGTAAATATTATTTTAGTGTTTAAAACCTTATTTGTAAGTAATCAAGTAGGTTTTTGGTATAAATCTTAGTACTATCCAACAGATGAATGCAACAGCTACAAAACGTATACAACTAAATCATCGATTATTGCAATTGCAACCATCTGATCTATTTTCGGAAGTAACAGGTTCATTGACCGAACCTACAAACCCCTTTGTCCACGAACCGCGTATTTATGGGGATAACTTTCAAGAAAAGAATAAGAAAAAGTCCGAAACGAAACGGGAGGAGATCAAATAACAGATGGTCTTTGCGCTTACCGAAATCGATAAAACAACTGGACGTGCTTTTTTATGAACATTTCACTTTGCACAATAATGATTAAGAGTTTGTTTATATATTATTTTCTTCTTTACTTGCGTTTCTTGAGTAGATTAGAGGCCTATGAGAAACGCGGAACAATGAGTTTCTCGTGAATATTATTTTCGTAAATAGTCGAGGCAATGAAAATAAATACCAAAGGTTGCGACGCGTAAACATCGAAGAAGATGTTTGTTTACGACCGCGATTAATTCGGCTTCATCTAGATCCACAACCAGATGTTAATTCACTTATATCCATGTGATTTAATACGCCTAGTCTTAGACCGCAGCAATTACGCGTAATTACTAGAACATTGATTCAGTAGTTTAAGCAAAATATAAATTAAATTACAAATTTGAGAAATCTTAAACAAAATTTATAAAAATGAAGAAATTACAAAATCATAACTCTTGATTATAATTTAAATTCATCTTACTCTAATATTAATTATATTATTTACATGTAAAAATTTCGATATTTTTTTGTAATTTTATTATTGAAAAAAAAACTTACTTTTGTTTATCTAATAAGAAACAGCATGACTTTCAGAAGAAGCAATTTGCATTTTGACTTTCCTTCGTGTTTTAAGCATTACACAATTATTAGCATTTAACAGAAACCGGTTTTAATTTAATAATTATAATAAATTATAATAATACAAATTTTTATCATGTAACAATTAATTTTCACTTACATTATTATTACGTTTGCTTTCCGCCAATATTCGAGATAGTTTGCATCAGGAAAAAATAGACGATTTTAAAAGCGCACAAGAAGAAACATGAAAACCGCACAAGAAAACCGATCAATAAAAATTATATACTATTTTATTAGAATATATTTTTATTTTCCTCTTATAGTGATCGAAGCGGGATTATGCGAGGTATTGCTGTTACTTGAAAAGATCTAAACTGTTTGTAAAAATAAGCATGAATACATTATATAAAGTTGTAAAGAAATTTCAATGAAAATGATTAAACTTTAAAGACTATTTTTTTACAGCTACGCAAATTGTGTGAACTTGTTTCTAATGCGATTACCGAACATTCTAACTCGATTAAGATACGAAGGAAGAATTGAATTCGCCCACCAGAAATGCAATTTCCTTTCCCCAAACTCGCTTAGCATACGAAATTAAATCGAGTTATTCCAAATAAAAACTGTTGAATATTAAAGTACATAACGCAGAAATATACGTATTGAAGAAAATGTTTATTTCTTGCAATCATCTACAAAAACTATTATTTGATAAATATATTGCATGTTTCTTGGTGAATCTACATTGAATTGAAATGGATGGATTTTCGCTCTAGTTATTTTTATTTATTTATCTTATATCGAGTTGTACGATTCGCCATAAACGACGACGATATTATGCGGAGATTTCGAGCAAAGCCAATTTCACATACTTTCTCACGCATTTGAATAGTGGAAAAGAAAATTGCGCTCGGTATAGAAAATAAGTGAGAGAGAGAAAAAAATCTAGTGCAGCATTCAATATTCGATTTTCCGCGATTTCTCGCTGCTCGGAAAAAGGAGATTGCCTGGAACGTCCTCGGTGATCAAAACATATCTACAAGTAATATTATTATTATCACTTTTTCAATAACAACTTTCATTAATTCAACCGGTGTAAAAGTTCGGAAAAGGTTTCTACTTTATAAAGTATATAAAGTTACCAAAAGTATATCAGAAGTAACTAACATAAAAAAATATATGGTAAGTATTATTAATATTCCAAGAAAGTTCATGACCCTTTATGTGACGGAGTTATGCAATAAATTTATTTATTATTCTGTTATAATTCAAATATTTTCTTAATATAACTAAGTTTGGTAAAAATAAATTGAATAAAATTGAATCACATAATTATGTCTATAAAGTATTGTTAAGAAGTGAAGAAGTTTGAAAATATATTGTTCTTACTTTCTGTGTTTTGGTGTCTTGAGGAAATCCCACACTTTGCACCAGGTATCAGGAAGAGAACGAAAAACGGTAACTTAACACATCCATACAATCGTCCTTATTCGTGTTATCCTTTCTTCTTTCTGGCTGCTGATGCGGTTGCTCCCGGTGACTGCTCGAAGGCGTAGCAGCGGCAGGATTTGCTTATGCCTAGGCGCGCGTGTGCGTGCGTCCGTGTGAGTGCGTATGTGCGTGTCCGTGTGAGAGTGCATGTGTTGTGAGAGTGTGTGTGTGTTTCGTCGAGGTCTTCTCTTCCTCCCCGAACAACTCTGGAGCAGAGGTTGGTCCACGCATCCGCAGACCGCTCCGACGTAGCCATGACAACCCAGTCGTTACTCCGTTACCGGAACAATTGTTATGGGATCCTGATGTCGGAGTTATTTGATCCGTTGAAGACCCCATTCGCGAGTTGCGTTGATAAATGATGACGCTGCTGCTGCTGCTGCTCCCATTGCAATCATTACACCTTATTACGTTTATTGCGCTCATCTCCAAACAGGATACTAGCCTTGCTCGAACCCAGAACTCACCGATCCCAGAACCGAACGACCTTTGGGCAAGAGAAAAGGGCCTTAACGAATATAGGGCGCGGCCTTACCTAAACCTACACCTCAAAAACCACTTAATTCTGTTTTTATTGTAAATCTTAATTTTCTACATACTTAATGTTTTCTACATAACAAATTGCAGTGGAGTCCTTCTTACGCAATAATAAAATTTAAAATATATGTATATTATATGTTATTGTTTAGTTTGTATGTAACAGCGCAACGTTAAATTTCGATAATTTTCAGAATCTTTTGAAATCGAAATATCGATACTTGATTTTTTTCTTGTTGAATTATGTAATTGTCCTGCGTGGTTATCCTTAAAGTAAATTAAACGTGAATCAACAATTTTGCAAATCAACGAATGACAGCATGACAGTATTCAATAATAAAAGTATCTTGAGAGGTTGTCGACCAATTCAAGATTTACGCAATTGTAAAATTATCAAAAAAGGGCTCATTCGAAAAGTGTTGGTCTCCATAGAATTACGTAATTATCCTGCGTATAACCTGAAATAAAATAAAACGTGAAGATGCAACAACACTTTTGATCTCATAGCAGACGAATGGATGACAGCAGAAATCTGTCAATGGACTCATTGAAAAGGAGACATTTTCAGCTTTAATTTTAGTATTCGATCATCTAAGTTATCGATAAATTAAAAAAAATAGAAAAACTGAAAATATTGAAAATAAAACAATAAAAAATGCAAAAAAAAAACGTAACTTTCGAGAAATTCATAAAAAAAACAAAGAAAACTGATCGCAACGTAAACTTCCTCGCATAACGTAAGCTTCCCCGCATCTGATTATGCAATAAATTAAGTCAGAAGTTCATATTTTTTTTAAATAATTAAGGTAAATTGTTTTTTTTTATCAAACGCAGTAATTTCTCAAAATGTCAATAAATTTTAAGCACTTTTCAAATCTAAATATCTATAATAGAAGCTTTTTTATGGTGCCCAATCCTGCGTGGTTATCCTGAAATTAATGACAACATAATAGTCCTTTTCAGTAATAACACATTTGACAGCTGATAACGAATGGGTGGCAGATCAAAACTCTCAATGGGCGCGCGCTGAAAAAGTGAGACTTTTTGCTTTCATTTTAGTATAAGATGTAATTAGCTCTATCGGTTCTCGAGTAATTCATCAAAAAATCGTCCTTCGTTAAATTACGTAACTTTTGTCAAAGAAATTCCACAAATTTTCAGAACCTTTCAAGAAATATTAATGAAAGGAAGCAGTTTTTTTTATTCATAATTTGTGTTCTATTATTAAATTAGTTTACGTAATTATTTTGAAATTAAATTAAACTTGAATACTGTGCATTTTATACTTCGATATTTAACAAAAAAAAAACAATAAATTAATAACGTAAACTAATTGTATGGAATCAATTGAATGTCATAAAGCATAAATTATATTGCGTATGCGGAATTCGTACAGATTCAAACAGTAAGAAGCGGAAGAGATGGTTGACAGGAAAGAGAAAAACTTGCAGAAGGCAGAACAAAACGATACAGAACGCGAAAGAAAACAGAAAAGACAACCTGTAAAATGTCATTTGTTTTAGTAACGAGTTCTTGTATGCGTTCGAGCGTATCCCAAGCAGCAGTTCCTGGTAGTTTAAATTATGTTCTATTCATAAGTCCTTTGCGGCGATCTCACGTTACCTTTTTTTTTCCTTATCCTTCATTTTTTTTTGTCTTGCGATAATTTTTAACACTCCTTACACGGAACGCGCTCACGTTTATTATTATTTTTGTCTACAAATTACCTACATTGTTAGCAAGTCCAGAAAGCAGTTTCGGAGAAAATGATAGTTCTAGCGTTTTTCTTTGCAACGACTGTAATCTGAACAGAATTGTTGAATTTTTAAGTTGTAATGATAAAACTAAAATGTATAAAGACGAACTACTTCCATAATTTCATATTTCATTAAAAGCAATGTAAATAAAAAGAGTTTAATGCCAATACTAAGAAAAAATGACAGTAATGTTAAAAAAGGCTGTATGGTTTTGTTAACATTTGCTAAAATGTTGTACTTTTCTTAAGGTCTACTTCCATAATTTTGCGATTGACAGCGGCAATGCAACGTATACCCAAGTGGTAAAAATCCGGACAGCTCGGTTCTAAATATTCCGAAACAACTGACGTTGCTCGTAAAATGAGAACTCCTTTACATCAGATTGATGCATGTTACTGCCGACTCACGAAATACGAGCAGTTTCCAGCAAGTATGCATAAACGAGTATTTGTGTGCTCGTAAATTGCAAATGCTCAAATGATAAAGAGCAAGTTACGCAATCTAACTATTGATGAACTTATAAGATGCTGTTATGTTTGCGTTACAAAAAAAATATACTAGCCTATAACTTAGATCAGGGTTTTCCAAACTATGTTCCGTGGAACACTGGTATTCATAATGATTTTCGGAGAATGACTTTTGGGAGATAAGGAGATTCACAACACCCAATTTGAGTAGATAAAGTCTTTTTTGAACGGATTGTGTTCATTAATCGATCACGATCAATCTTGGATATACAGTCTTCTATTTATACATGTTTGGTGTATATTTGGTTGAATATGGAGTGGTAACAAAGTTTTTTGAAGCTTAAGAAAAAATGTTTGAGCGGAGTGTCAAATTCCAAAATTTGCAGCCCTCTTGCGGTGCCGTTTGATGTGGCCATCTCTCTGCATCGTAGCACGATATGGCCCTGTTTATAATTACCAAACAATGGAGCTTTAATAGAAAAAAATCATAGTGTTTCATGTCGCGCATCTTAAAACATACTCTTACATTTATACTTATTTCTAGTATATTTGGTTGCATAACAAATCACAAATAAATTACAATATTAGTCTTCTGCCAGATTTTTGGTATTTACCTTTCCTTTATAAATACCCTATTGTGTCCAACCACTAAGAGTGCATACCATTGAGAGCATTGAAACATATCATTCATAAACAGATTCCTACGAGAGCAATGCCTGATAAGAAAATTCCTTCATATTTTGAATTCGGAACCAAAATGCAGAATAGGCAGATTACGCAAAGGAGCAGTGGCCTGAAGCGGAGTTTCTTATCATAACCCTGTCTTTCTCCTCAAACTCTCAGCTCTAGTTACATAGTTAATTTTATACGTAGAATAAGTATTTCTAATTAGTCTTAGTAATAACGTTAAAGACGCACCGAACCATAAGACGCAACCAAAATTTGAGTCCATTTTTCTAAGTGCGAACGAAATGTTTTCTTGTCTTTAGCAGTTTTAATTGTTCCTCTTGTTTTCTTCACTCTCAAACCAGTTTCTCTGTTGGTGATAAACCAAAATGTCTTTCTGCTGCTCAGTTTCCATAATTGATCACATTTAGTTTATACCTCATGATATAAGAAAGTACTTTTTGTTTTACGCTCATTTTTTCTAATTTTAGAATAACAATTTTAAAGTTTTATAAAAGTAATTCAAAAGAATCGTACAAAAGCGTCATGCCACTTTCAGTGGCGAGCCATATTTTTCGGACTATAAGACGTACCTCAAATTTAGAGACGATTTATTGAAAAAAATATTTTAATTTTAACTTGATACGCATAACACTATAAGAGTCCATTTTTTCTATGTAAAAAGGTGCGTCTTATAGTCCGAAAAATAGGTAGTTCTTTATTAAAAGCTTGCTTGTAAAATAAACTATAAATTGTGAAAGAAAATTAAGGATTTCAAATTCAAGTATATTTGGTGGAAAACAAGACTCAAATTGAAACCAAAATTATAGTTTTCTAGTTTTCTAGTTTTAGTTTTAGTTTTAGCTAATTAGAATTTTTATCATATTAGATGTTTAAAGGGGCTTTTAATTCCGCATTTTTTCTATATCAAATTTGCTTTGAATCAATCATAAAATATTAAATTATTGTTATTTTTAAAATTGTGATTATGACGTTTGTATTGTTTAACTGTTAGAAGACATAGACATAGTAAGACTTATTACTATGTTTGCCTTCATATAATCTGGAAACTTCTTTACATATGAATTGTATTCTTCTATAGTTATGAATTCTATAGTAAGGAATTATTTTAGGAGTAGGATTTTTAGAGTTGATGAGAAATAAAAATATATAAAAATGATGCTTCGTCAATCTACATAGATACATTAAACTATTCTAATATTTCATTAGACATATCAGTACATGGATTATTATATTGTATAATAGATATTCTCTTTCTTTTCATATACACATATATATAGCACTTTTTTTTCAACATCTTTTACATTAATTTGACAAAATAGAGTTTATATATTTCATTCATAGCGTATTTGTTCTATGGGTATCTTCGTCTTCTTTAAATATACTCTCTTATTTTCTCTTGGGTTCTTTCGTATATTATAGATTTATATATATATCTCTCTTTAACGTAACCGAAATCTCTTCATATAATCAACGAAAAAAATAAATAAACATTATAAACTATGTCAGTAACGAATTATAATAATTTACTCATACATCTTTTAAATATTTGTTTGTTTGTTATTAGATTGTATAAGTAAATGAAGCAACTTGTACGTAATTCAGTCGATATCTTTATGTTCCTGTGTTCGGTTTTACTATAGTTCTATTTTTTTTTGTTATGATATTTCATGTTTCCCTTCCTAAAACACGGATACTTTTCCTGGTGCTTCCGATTTTGGGAGGCTGGATTCCAAAGTCGCAAGCACCGCCGAAGAACCATAATAGAAGTAAAAACAAAATATATTAAGCGTATATAGAGTAGGCTCCAGTGGATGCGATCCACGATCATAAGAAGAACAACAACATAAAATTTGTAAACAATACAAACAGACAACAACAACAAACAACGGAACATAATGCACGGTAACAGATTCACGAACCAAAATCTGCAAGTAATTAGAGAAGTCAAAAAATATAGATACGTGTTAATACATTCATACACAAAATATATAGATATATCGCATTACATTTATGTCGGTTTACCATATCAACGTATCGATTTAATCTCCTTTAATACTATTAATACTATATATTCTTTAACATTGATATAATTATATGTATATATATTTATGTATTTTTTTTTAAATATATTTATCTTTGTTTCGGATTAAAATATTTCTCTGGGTTTTACTGATCTGATCGTATATTTATATATTTTTTTATAGATTTTACTTAGTATCCCGAAAGCTAAGGTACAAGCCGTCTACGATAGATCTCAAAGATATGATGCATGATATTGAAAGTGGTGGAAACGAAAGTCAGGTCAACTAAATATTTTTTTATCTTAATATGCGTTTCTCGGCTTCCGCATCAGGGCTGGACTGATGAGGAAGTCTATTAATGTGTCAGTTTTTACTTTTCTTTGGTTTCTTGTGTTGGCTGCGGCGGTAGAGCCTTTAGAATAGCGTGGACTTCTTCGGCTACGGCGGTCAAAACGAACTCAAACTGCTGCTTGGTTGCGACCATGCGAGACCTCTGATCCCTCAGATGTTCGAGCGTAGCTGCTATATCAATCTCCTTGGCTCCTTTGGCCATCCTGCTTAGAACCATATCGATGAGACAATAAGTTCCGGTTCTTCCTGCTCCATCGCTGCAGTGGACGACAATCGGGCAGGAGCGACCGCGGTACGATTTGTTCACTTTCCTGCGGAATTCCAAAAGAGCTTTCGTTGATGCCGGTACACCGGTTTCTGGCCAGGACAAGAAATGGAACTGGGTCACAGTGCGGGTCTCTCCTGTGCGGACGTTCTTCAAATAGAATGATCTGACCAAGTAGTCATCGCACCAGATGTGCTCGCTGACCAAGTGGACTTCGTAGATGTGGTAGACCTCAGATCCTTCCTCTGGCCAGTATCTATGGCACATAGCCGTTCCTCCTTCAGTTAGACGGGTCAACATGACGATGACAACTGCTCCTTGTTCCCATATCAATTGCCAAAAGTCCGGTGCGGTCTGTGGAAGCGGTCCTTGTGCTGCTATATAAGCGGGATTCCTGGGATCGTGATCGGTGATACTCGAAGCGTTGATAAAATCAGATCCAGTGAGATTGGTCAGATCGTTCAAAACCACCCTTGCATGGTCGTAAGGCATCACCTCCATGTATCTGTTCTTCTCTACGTTCTCCTTCTTCAAAGCAACGGATGATTCACACGGTTCGGCCACGTAAGCGCAAAGCGCGACCCACTCCTGCTCCAATCGATCCTTATTCTTGAGATGATCCTCCATGTAGCTCAAAACCATATGACCAGTGGATATATCCATGTTATGCAATGCCGGTTCTTCGCTCCACGAAGACGTGCTCGATCTACTCGAAGGACTCTGCTCGGACTCCCGAGATAATGAAGTGATCCTTCCGTGCACAGTTTCCGCCGGTGTCGTCCCTTTAGTGGACATCCTCGCCCTACATAAATCCTGGTAATCTTTGCTGGCCTCGCTATCCGGCCTCGCCAACGAATTTAGTTTCTCCTTAGAATTGACGTGCTTGCGAATAATCAACAGCAAGATGGAAGCGATAATCAACGCAATCAGAATTCCGCACACAGTGAAGATGATTATGTAAAACTCGTTACCAACTTCCTTATGAGAAACAACCACAGAAGGCTCCTTCGTCTAGAAAAAAATAATAATCCAATAATAATCCAATTCAATCTGTCCCTTCATCGATCGTAAGACCAAACCTTGTCTCCCACGCCCGTCGCAACGATCTCGACACCTGTCGCCGCCTTCAATTGATCTTTAATATCCCCTGCAACAAGAAAATTTAAATAGTTAAACTACTTTAAATGATCAAATAGATAATAAACATACATATTTTAGTCGCTACATCAGTTGCGTTCAAGTTCATTGGATTCGGATTAACTTTAAAAGTAACTTCGTTGCGATCCACCCTTAAAATCGAGAAAAAAATAATTAAATTTAATTCGTTTTGTTGATTGTTTATTTAATTATATAATTAAATGAATCCCAATTACGGTTTGTTTACCTGCCGTGAGATAAGACATTCCAATTAAGATTGAGTAGAGAAGAGATGTTTCGAATGACGGCATCCCCCTGCCTCCAGCTTCGCAATCTGCGAAAACAATCAATAGTGATTTCTATTCCGAGTTTGAAAAATGGGATTTTCCACTCACGTATCCTTGATGGCCACGTAAACGTAATCGGTGTCGACGTCGTAGATTTCGTGCATGCGGTTCGGATGAGCGCCTCGTGGTTCTTTCTTCATCATGGATGGAAGAAAGATGTCTTTCATTTGAGTATCGAAAGGCGGACCGGGTTTCTTCACGTCCAACCTCTCCGGCCTCTTGAATCCCAGATCGTACTCCTGCAGGAGCTCATCTAAATTGTTCTTGAGAACACTCCTCGGGTCGCTTTTCATATCTTTAAAGAAGTCGTTAGAAGCTGATCGATAGTTGCTGATGGGTTCTTTGGTACCTTTAGACGATGGTAAATATACCATACCGCCTTCGGTGAAAATGCCGCCACCATTCACCGTTTCGATGGGTCGATTCATCTGCTTGAGCTCGCGGAAGATTTCCTGTCGCGGCTGCAAGTTCTTCAACTCCCTGAAAACCTCCTCGTTGTGCGCACCGCTTCCGTACTCCTCTGCCTCCTCGTCCTCATCAAAGTAAACACGCGATTCCGGTATTTCAGACTCCCAACCTTCAGATGCCATAACATCATCCGGATAGTCTTCGATGCGACCCCATGAACCCAAATCTTGCTGCTCGTTAACTTTTCTTCGGGGCTCCCAGGTGGTCCGGAAGTTTTCTGGCGAATTGTAGATGATGCGTTCCGGATAGTTGGTTTCAGGCTTCATCCTGCCGTACAGCAAAGCCAAGATTTCCTCGTAATTCTCAGGGCTCAGTGGAGCCCTTTGCAGGTAATCATTCAGCGCGTAAACGTCGTTCGAAGTGATTCGATTTTCGGATACCAGCTTGTCCAAGATTTCAGGATTCTCGTACGGTGACGGCGGTGGAGGTGGAGGAGGAGATCTGCGACGCATCTGCGGGATCCAAGTGCGCTTGACGATGTAATCGGCATAAGGATCCGGCATGTCATCCACTAGGGATCAAATCAATTCGATTATGTTATGCGTCATTGAAAATCCACTTACGTACTCGAAGCAGAAACAATTACTTACGATCGATCGCATTGGAAGGAAGGATTATCTTCCTGGCTATGGCGCGGTCGTCTTCTACGGGTGGATAGTACACTTCGTCGGCAAAGTCGCTGCGGGGGTCGTCTGCGCTGGGGGTGAACTTGACGATGGCCACATCCCTTGGATCGATGTGCACCTCGCCTTCCAAAGCCTTCAAAGCTCCCTCCAGATCCTGGTCCGACAGATGAGAGCAGGCGTTCACATCCTGCGATAGACTATCAACAACAACAACAAAAAACAAACCAATTACCATGAATAAAATATACGGTTAACGTTAGAAAACCCACTCGTTTTTGTACGCGAACAGCATACCCTGGAGACGGCATTGTGTATAGGAGTGGCTCCATCGATAACCCAAGGCGAAAAGACGTTTAAGCTCGTGGCTCAAATCATGCAAAGCTTCTTTATCCAAATCAAACCTAAAACAAAACATTTATTAAATTAATATGTAGTTCAAAATAAATAATTTAAAAATAATGTTAATCCACACTCAGATATCTAACAATAAGTGATCATCTTGTCTTCAGAAATAAACCAAAGTTCCAATACGTATTATATTGATAATACTCATAAAAATAGTCATTGTCATTGAAGAAAACATTTCCTTGAATAATACTCTTAACAATAGCAGCAATCTATCATATTTTTCTCATTAAAATTGAACAAGCGTAATGCGGACAGGACTCATTATTAATTTATAAATTAATTTGTAACTTGCGTCCGACAATGTTGGCTCAGCTTAGTCTGCAAATAATAAGCTCTAACAATAATAAACATAGGGCAGTAAGCTTACTGCGAAGTCGAAGAATTTAATTGGAATTGAAGGGAGAGCAGTGGGAGTGAACGGAAAAGAGTGAAGTGGAGAGAACAAATATAGCGCGCGCTTTCAGTTTAATTAAAATTCGCAATTGCGCGTAATGAAAGTTTTAATTGAGAGACTTACTAGAAAGAAAAAAAATAAAACGCATATTTAAACAAATAATAATAACATAACAAAAAATCAACGGCGCGCGATGCACACACATCGCATTTAACTTTTCGAAATTAAAAGTTAGTTGCCTGAATGGAGCGCAATTTGTAAAGTGGAAACTGCTAAGCAAATTCATTGTTGTAAAATAAATTAAATACCTTTAATTTCGTAGACACGTTTAATTGCATTTCATGTCAGCTTGTTAACTTAGCGTAATTAGAATGAGTTTTTGATGTTTGTTTGTGTTTTTTTTAGTAGGTTGGGAATTGGTGCTACTTGATGTTTTAAGCAATTTGGCTTAAATTTAAAACCTGTATTCCAGTCCAAAAAAAAAACGAATAATAGCCAAATGGTTAAAGGCAATTCCGTGGGCGCCGGTTCGAATCTTGGTCAAGCTAGGCCCTTTGTGAGCCCTCTCGGTGCTTGAAGCAATAGTCCCATATCGTTCATCATGAATGGACAGTCAAATGAAATAGTTTCAGCATATGGACCTTCAGCCAAGTCGATGGACAATGACAGTGTTAAGAATAGCATCAGATACACAGACAAAGGGAATAGTGGTATCGCAGAGCATTAGTATATTACTGAAGTTAACCTACAAGACTGCAGCTATCCAACAAATTTCAGAAGAATATAATGGTAAAAAAACTTCCATTGGGAAGTTTACCAAAAAACAAATGTCATTGTAGTATATATATAAAAATATATAAACATAAAAATTAACAAATTCAAATTGTTATTATAATTATTACAATAAATGTTTTATTAAATGATTTTCCCAATCGCAATAAATCAAAATGTAACAATAAAAACATCATTATAAATTAAGTTTAAGTGTGCCGTGGGATAAGAAAAGGTTGAAAAACACTGGTATAATATAGAGAAAATGTGTTATGATAATGAATATACATATTTTAAAAACTTCTGAATAGTTATGTATGAATAAAAATAGTATAATTAACATTTAGTAATAGTTATCAGAATACATTGTATTTATTGTATGACGATTATTATTAATTTCATTTATTAAAGATTAATAGAAAGAAAAACCTTAGGATTTATGTATTTCTTGAATAAATCTGGCCAATAAATTTGTATTATTTTAGAAAAAAAATAGTTTGTGAGAATGAAAAAATATTATGGTAACCGTTTTTATAATCAATTGTGAACTCACCTGAAGAAGTCATCTTCATCTGGTTGTCCTGTGGTTTGAAGGCACCTGCCGAACGCAAAATCTGTGGAAAACACGTAAACATTCATTCATTTCCACGCTGATTGATGGACGGCGTTTCATTCGTTTTCCGCCCGTTGATTTATTGAAACGGGCGGAATAATGAAAACGCGGATGAGTAATGGAAAGGCAACAAACAACGAACAAGAAGAATATGACAACATAAAAAATATTATTACCATCGAAACAAAACTCGACGTCCTCCAGGCAAAGTCGATCGCTGAACAAACACCCTGCAAAACGAAAATCATCAATCTTTGTGTATAATTCCATGCATATTTCATATTTTCTATTTAAAAACTCTTCAAATTTCCCTACGTCTGCCAGCGTTTGGTCATTTCTTTTTCAATTTTTTTTTGTACGCTGTGTGCTGCTTGTTGCTGCTTTATGTACGAATGATGGATTCGTTGCTATGTAATGTTGCTCTGACGTCAAACGGTGGGAGTGTGTAGGAGTCGTGGGATCCCTTTTAAAATCAATAGCACGACCGAACTGCTTTTGCCCGACTAGCAAGAAGCCCACGCTAATTAAGCTCGAACCTAGGACTCTCGAGAACCGAAAAATTACTCAATTAATCGCAATTTCCACCTCTGCTTGTATTACGCCGTTTGCATTAAACCTTTAAACTACTTAATTTAAACGAACGGATTATTCAGTACTTTGCATCCTGAATCATCTTTCAAAAGTAATTACAGGTAATTAGAGGTAAATATTCGGTTGATGCATTAACGAAAATTACGTTTTTAGAAACATCTTTTGATGTTGAAGTTAACCATCATTTATATTATGTAACTCAGGTTCCCAAACTTTGTCGGTTTGCGGCGCACTTAATATATCCCTAAGTAAAAACATTAACGAATTTTATGTTAATATCAGAATTTTTGTTCTTGGCACAGCACAGTTTGGGAACCTGATGTAAATTATATTTCCTATCTTGCAATTACAAAAAAGTAAATATCTTTTGATGTTGCAGCAGTAATAACGATCAAAGCACGTTACGTTTTTTTTTTATTATTGTTATCTCGTGTTATTAAATATGTTTGTGCTGCGATTTCCTCCCATATCTAACGCACGTTAATACAAATATTACGGATATTACGCTCATGTTTTTTGTTGGACGTCCGCCCTTATCAATTGTAATAGCCGCTATCATCGATCAACATCGATATAACGACTGTACTTTCATGTGTGTGTTTTTTTTTGTGTATTTATTTATATTTTGGTGATGTCGATTCGCATTTTTATTTTCGCCATCTGCAAAATCGATGGTCGGACGGTCGGATCCCAGGCCAACCGACACCAGACTCGGACGGAACGTGTTTTGAATAATCAAACGTGATCTCCATTCGAACCAATACTCTGCACGTATTTTCAGAAGAAAAAAACTCTTATATAAAACCTGAAAGCCAAATCCGGGCGAAGGAAACTTCGATGGGAGAAATTTTATTAGAATCTGACAAAAGATAAGACTTTATATACATAACATTTCCTAGCTTATTTTTACGAGTATTTTTCGAACTGAAATCTTGAAATTTCCAGAATGGACCATGAAATAAGCAAATTTATTTTCTAAATATTTATTGCAGTTATCTTATTTCCAGTTATCAAATGAATTGCATACACCAATTGAAAATCATGTACTTTTCAATCATAATTCACTTGCATGAGTTTTCATTACATCATTCAAACAACTAAAGAATTATTCTTAAAGCTTCTTATTTCTATGGAATAAATTAATCACTCTATTTTCAAGCTAAATTTAACTATTATTCCTAATGTCATTTTACATTTTCCTAATTTTGAAGCTCCTTGTTCTTATTTATTTGAATTTGAAATAGAAATGCCGAAATTAAAAATGTATTAGTTGTTTACGTTAGAAATAAAATTGTTAAAATATTTCTGTATAAATAATACCAAAAACAATCCAAAATGTTTCTTCATCTTTTATTATTCATCAAGGAGCTCAAAGTCTGTACTAAATAAGAACTTTTTATTTATTTCAAGATCAATTCGAATGTTGAGTTTGTAAGTTAATACACGAGTTCTTAGTTTATTTTTGATTAAATTTTAAACTGTAATTTGAAGCTGAAATCATTGTTTTATCAGTTATTTATGTTACAAATAAAATTGTTATATTATTTCTGTAAAAATAATAGCAAAAAATACAAACCATGTTTCATATATTGTCCTATTAACATTTAGCAAGAAACTCAAACTTTATAGTAAACACGTTATACATTTACTGAGTATATAAAAATTTCTCTATTTCCAATTTTGTCGTCAATTATGAAAATATTTCAATATATTTAAATTATTCGGACATTTTAATATGATTGTTTTAATTAATATTGCAAGTATATGTTAATTAAATTGGTACAAAAAAATTGTTTTTGTGTAGCCTCAAGAAATTTATTAATAAACTTCTTTATCAATTGCTAATATAACCAAGAGTTTAGAGCAGCGTTGCCCAACCCAAGCAATTTGGAACGAAGAATTAATTCAAAATATTTTATTATATTATAGTAAATATTTGATACTTGTTTTTTTTTATATTGTTTGATATATTTTTCATATCAACTAGTACATTAAAATATAGAAAGCTAAAAACTTCAATTAGAGCGCATGCATGGTTGTCTATTTTTCTACCACAACAAAATTATTATTCTAATTATTTTATTTAAATGATGTGATATGTAGGTGACAGTGTTTGAACAATATAGAAAAAATAGCTTTTTATGATTACTGCCCTATTTCTCCACACTGTTGGTACTTTCGACGACAATTCATTAATTTTCATATTGTTGTTTTATTATTTTGGTGGACATTGAACTTTGGCTCTTTCAAACTGTTACTATAATTTTATAACGAAAACTTTAAAAAGGTAGAATTTTATAATAGTTATTACTTATCTATTATCTTCTGAAGACCGAAAGAGGCTAAAGCCCATTCTCTCATGTTAAACCAATGTATGTATCTTTGATAAAACTAATAAAGATTATTAAATTTCAATTGATAGTTAGTTTCGTACAACTAGATCTATTAATTATTGTTTTCTTTACTAAATAGCTTCCTATGGGTTATACCAGTTTTCTCCTTTAATCCCCGTTAAAGTTAGAATTACCACTTACTCAAGAGAATTGTATTTAGATTGAGGATTAAATTGAACCGAAACTAAACTAATAACTAAATCTCTGGAAAATATAGAGATTCTGGTATAATATTAGATCGATAAATAATATAACTTGAATTATATTACGGCTACGATCAACTACATCACAAATGAGTGTGTTCAAAACTAAAATTAAAAAATCTATAGCATAAGAACGGAAAGTGTAGTAAAAAAATAATTATATTTTAAGAAATATGTAAGGATAATAAAATTATACCAACAAAATCAAGTTTTGTTTATAGTCATTGATTGTGCATTTAAATTTTAGTGTCAATAAAAAACTTGACTGACTCAAATATACTTCAATTTATTTATTAATACTTTAGACTAAAATTATAGCACATATAATAAAGAAAAATAGAAAACTATAAAGAAATGTGAATTGCTCAAATAATATATAAAAATATATATTTTTTAATGATCAAGGAATCTTATATTCAAAGCGTGATAAGATCTAAAGACATCTACCGAACAAAGACATTTCGCTTGTAGCAACCTTGATGTTTTATTAACGACGTCAATTTGTAGAAATGTAATTGAATTAAGTCGCTGTAAAGTTGCACAAAGCAGGAGGATAGCGAATGCTGTTGATCATAAAAGCATGAAATTGCTTTGAACCTCTCTCGGCTATGGATAAAATTTTCTTTTTATCGTCATCAAGTGTGGTTTTACGATATGATATTTATTTTATTTCTCAGTCTCAATTTGTAAATAATAATGTTTTACTGTAGAATTTGTTGATTGTAGTACAGCAATATGTCGCATAGTGTAGCTTCGATTTGGTTTGAAAATTTCAAAACAATCTAAATTTTAATGAAGCAAAATAAAAATAAGTCTCTTTTGTGCAGATATTTTTTGGATATATTTAGTTCCTCGATTAGTCAGGACTAAGCGAGATATTGTTGTAATAAGAAGTAATTATTTAATATATGTATGGAAATATTAATAGTAGTACATTTAATGCTAATTTATGAGCGCAAGATCTATTCGAGCGATTTTAATGGGTTCCTCGGGGTTTAATAAATTCGTATCATATAACGTTACGTGTAATTATGAACTGCTAATAACGTAATTAGTGTCTAAGATTGTTAGTGTTAATTAGAATTATGTAAGTGACTGACTGAAATTGAGTTGCAGCATCATATTTACTTGTTTTTTGGGTCAAAGGTTGTTATGAGCTCTGGAAGAGTAAACATCGCATTATATTTTGGCTCACCTACATATCCTTCAGCCCGGGCTCCAGGAGGTCCCACTGTTGCCGCAAAGAGCAGCAACGCGCAGCGCAGTATGGCGCTAGGCCAGAGCATGGCCTGAAAACAAACAAGGAAACAGAGCGAATAAGTACATAAATGAAAAACAAAAATAAATAAAATAAAGGAAAGCGAAGAGAAAGGATGCGACACGGGGGGTGTTAAGGAAGGACGATGGGGTCGAAAGAAACGACGACGATTTTCCACGTAGCCGAAGTGAAATGCATGGATTAGTGTGCGGACGCTGGCGGCGAAAATCGATAGCTCATTTCGCCGTGGAAAACAACAAACTAATCGTCCATCCATTTTCATTTGCCCTGGTAGCAACGTTGTTTTGGTTCGTCTTTCATTTCCTTTTTTTTTATTATTATTTAGTTTGCTGCCACTGCCGTGCATTGTCAACATTCCGCCCGGAAAATGTAATTAAACGCCTCTCGAACGAGGCGCGTCGATTAAATTTTAATAACTCCTCATGAACAGAACGCATATTTTACGAAACACATTAACAAATGATGGACGTACAAAGTATTTTTTTATCCAATCATTAATGTCGCATGGATTTTTAATAAATATTAAATTAGAACAAAAATAGATTTAAAAAAAATCAATTTTCTAAAGAGAATTTCCCATTGCGCGCGTTAAAAGTTAATGCGTTAATCAATAATGTTTCGGTTTCATTGTTTCATTGTGATTCTCAATACAACAAACGCTTTGTTGATGCTGCCTCGCCATGGAAATCAATGCGTATGCATTGACATCACAATCATTTGTTTTCAGCTCGTGAATAGGAAAACTAAAAATATACCTTAATTCAACAGCATATCCAGACTAATTATGTTTTTTAATGATCACTTAAGAGAAACAAACGTATTTCAATAAGCTTTGCTGAATACTACTAACGAAACTGGTAACATTTTGAGAAATTACCTTGTGGAAATGAAAAACCACAGACTGATTAATATGTAACCGCATTCTTGAATTATAATTGAAACTAAGTAATGAACTTAACAGTTGTATAAAATATGAATGAAATTGTAATAAATTAATTAAAATGTTAAAAAATGAACAAATTTGATTCTAAATTGTTTAATATAAAAATATTTTGATTGTTATTAATGTAATTAGAGATCTGTGAATTTAATGGATAATAAAAGTGCTTTTTTTATATATTTTTTTTGGAGTTGATGTTTGTGCCATATTTCACGGATATTACGTGACCCAGAACGTGTCTTGATCTATCATGTCACGAAAATCCATACAAGCTTTCTTCTCGAGAGATTTTTTTTGTCTTGTTCTTTTTGTGCTCTTCTATTTGGTAACGGAATATACGACACATTACGTCAATTTCAATTAACCTTGGAACGACGAAGCTCCATACATCAACCCCACCTAGCCCTGAAAGTTTCCAAAGCACGTACCGTTTCTTTGTTTAGCTAGTTTAAACAAATACGTTTATTTCCTAAATATCAAAGTTACATTGTTTCAAATGTTAAGCAATTTTTATAAGTACCATGGAAACAGTATATTTGTTTCGTTATAAATGTCATTTAATTTGTTGTTAAATTTACTGTGAAGATGGTTTTGAAGACTGGATGATGAAGATTAGGGTCATGAAGGTTCGGTTAAGAGGACTTGGATTGAGGGTGACATAACAGGTGGGTGCCCATGGAGGAAAATCGATGGTAAGTACGATGTGGGATGGGACTCACCTGCTATTTGAGTCCGCTCGGTTCAAAGCATCGCAGCCGGATCTACGATTCGTGAAAGGTCTTCTGTCACTGTTTCGTTTGTTTTGTTGAAAATAAAATCAAATCACTAGATTGTCACTTGCTTCCTCGAGGTGCGGACCCTTCTTCGGGGCGATGGCAAATTTGTTCGCTCTATCGTCCCGTTTTCTTGTGATAGGTGATTTTCAGGAGGACCGAAGGTATCTGACGACGGTCGTTTTCCAGCTGTTGTAAATGTGTGTGTGTCTGTGTGTGCGGATGGATGGAAGATTCCGCGACGTCGGTTGATCGGACGCCGGCGCCTGGAAAATGCGAAGGCGTGCGTAGGAAGGACGATCGATTCCAAACAGCACGACGTCCCGTTGGTTGGGTCCCGGACCCGAGACCCTCATTCAAGGATTACTTCTACGCCTTTCAACCATTCCTCCTCTTGTCTGTCTGTCCGTCGATTTCTTCCTAGGATTTCAGCGCGGAGAGCTCTCAACAACAAACGCCATGCGAACCGTGCAGAACGATAACAGAACCCTGATAAAAGCACAACCCATTACAATGCTTTTATCTCGCTAATTCGCTGATATACGCGCTCGTTATTCCAACCCACGGACTAAACGAACCTCTGTTTATTTTAGTTGCGTTTACTTTATTACTTTTTTTTATCAAAACGCGGGGTGAAAATACGCTTAAATTCACTCAACAAACTTCACCGCAGACCTGTTATTATTTAATTACAAACAATTTACGAACAGTTAGACGATAAATGAATTCCAGATGCTTTGATTTGCTTTTTTAATTTACCGTGATTTATTTCATTAATGTACTCAATTACATTAATACGAGTTAAAAGAAAATGTTTAAGTTTATGTTTTGATTATTTTATTTCTGTATGTTATATATTGCCAGTTTATTAAATTACCCTTTGATAAGTAAAAACGTATCATAGTTATATCTTTGAACTGGTAGAATCCAATTATTATAAAAGTAAATAAATGTTCTTTGAGTCCATAAGTGCATAATTTGAAAATATATTTACAAATCTCACAAATACAACAAACATACAAATCTTGTACTTAATAACTAATAAAAATAAAATTAAAATAATAATAAACAGTAATAACAGGCAAGAGACACGAAACAGCCAAATTAAATGGGTCGATAGTAAAAAAAATCATCTCACCTTCAAGCAGCACACGCTTTTTTCTCCTTTTTCGGATTCAATATATGTACAAAATTTTCCTATATACAAAACGAAAAACGCATTCTCGTTCTTCGTAATTATCATCTTAAGTTTATACATATTACGTAGCAAAAATAAAACGGCCCGCGCGAAAACTACAAGTTTTGGCACAATCACCAGGCGCATCCACCAAAAAGGACATAAAAAAAACGAACAAACCAAAAAACAATTCATATTTTTTATATTTATTTATTTCTTTATTGTTCTCTTTTTTTGCGCGAAGCTTAATTTATTCACAGGGATGAAGAGCGGAAGGAGGGGCAGGATTCGTCTTCTCGCTTTCGATTTCAAAATTTACAAATAATACACAAGGACCAAAAAAAATAATAATAATAGTTAATAGTAATTATAAGAACTCGTAACTCACACTCGCAAAATGAAACTAAAAGTAAATAATCAAGATTACTTATTTTAAAATACACGCCACCATTCATACGGTAAATTATATAATAATAATATTTACAAATAATTATTTTGTTTTATACATAAAATAGTTATCACAAATTTCAATTGCTAATCCTGGAATAATAATAATAATAATAATTAAATCACAAGTACACTTAGTAAAAAAAAACAAAAACTTGAAAATATTTAAAGGTGAAATAATAATAATATTAAACAAATATATAATATTCAAATATATAATAATGTGTTTTCTAATCGTTTTAAATATCTTGTTTCCTTTTTAAATTGAAGCCGGAGTTCTTGGGTTTTTTTTAAGTTTTAAATAAATAATAACAAATAATAAATGCGCGCATTTGCGGGTAGAAGGAAATTAGATTTCTCTTTTTACAAAACAAATTAAATTACAAAAAAAAATATATAATATATGCATTTATGGGATAACTTAATTATGAAACTTCATGTTGTTGTTTTTCTCCTGTAGTAACGCTCGTATTTTTTGTTTGTTTCTAGGTAATGATGATTGATTGCACTTCATTCTTCATCAGTCTGTATCTCAATTATACTTTTTTTTTATTTAGGGAAGAGAGAGAGCGTAAGGCACAGACAGACTCAAATATTGAACTATACTTAATATGTTTAAGCGTGCTTCTTCTAGACGTGAGATTCTAGGGGTAGTTTGTAGACGGAACTCTCGGGGAAGCTCTGTGGTCTGCCGCGGATCAAGTGCTGGTATGCGAAGACCATGTTCTCGTGTCCGATGAGGTTAACCTCGAAAAGGTAACGGTCCCTGCGCGTCGAAGATAAGTCCGGAGATGAAGTTCTCAGGTTCTTCTCCTTAGTGTTCTCGTTCACGTCGCTGAGCTCCTCCTGGCGGCGATTATCCAGGAGGTTCACTTTATCCGGATCCTTGGTCCCGCCAACCGTGTGCCTTCTTTTGATCGATCGCTCCGGCATACCGTTCTTCCTCTTCAGCTTGGCGAAATCCTTGGTCGTTCTCCTCGAAAGGCCGCTGTTGATCTCACGCTTTTTGCTTATGTTGCTCTCGGTTTTCTCGTACTTAGTCAGGCTGTCCGATCGTTTCAGCTTCTCCGTCGCCTTGTTCAAACTCTCCGAACGCTTCAGTTTGTTACTCAAAGGGGATGCAGTGCGTTCCGGCTTGTTAAGAGACTCGGACCTCTTCAGTTTTGATCCCAGGATGTTTACCTTCTTGTTGAGATGCCTCTCGTTATCAGGCACACTCAGGCACATCGTGGAATCCTCGTCCTTCTCCTTGTCCTCCTGCTTCTCCTTCTGCTTAGCGCTCACGTAATTGGAGGTGAGAAATTTCGGTATTTGACTGTACTGGCTCTTGTGGAGGCTCGGATTCCTGTACGTCTTTGGCGAACCAGGAATATTCTCCTTGTTCACATAGCTGCCAGCGTTGATCGGAAGCCGCGAGATCTTCTCCGGAGACTCGTCCACAAACGGTATATTCTCCATCGTGAGCGGCGACTGCTTGTGCGACGACGAGATCTTCTCGTCAAAAATCTTCGTTATGGACGTCAACAAATCACCGCCTAGAAAACAGAAACGGAACATTTAATACAATTTCACTCGCAATCCTCGGTGCAGCGAAACGCATGCCAAAATTTATTTAGTTATTAAAAGCTCACACTCCTTGTTACAAAGCGCAGCGCAACGTGCAATGTTTGCATTTCCATAAAAGAGATTCATAACACTCGAACAATCTCGTAATTGTGTTGTTGAAAGGCAAACAAAGCACGTCGGACGACTTTTTCAAATTAATGAAATAAAACCTGCGCGCACTTTATTAAATGATACAACAGAAATCCGAGTTAATTAAGGAGAGAAATAAATACACAAAACGAAATAAACATGAAACATAAATAGAAGCTGTGCGATGGTGTGTTGTGTTTCGCGTGCGATCAATTTAGTGCGTCGTCGAAGATATCTGTTCGTTAACTTTCAAAGGGAAAATATAAAAAATAAATATCAAAGAGATAACTTTAGACTCGAAAATAAAAATTTAGTTACAGAACAAGTCAGAAGCGTTAAAAATAAAAACAAACGGATTAAGAAAATAAATAAATTAACGAAAATAATAATAGAAAGAAAATGATGCACAGCGATGTAAATTAATAAGTATTATTTCTTTGGTCTGCTTGTAAATCAAAATACCTCGGAGTCTTTCTTATTTTTCTAATATCTGTGATAAAGGGTTGTGTTGTGGCGTGTTCTGGGGGGCCTTTGGGGCATTGTCGTAGGGGGACGGACGGGTCTCCACCCTCTAGGTGGAGCAACCGGGGGCCCAAACCCTACTAATCATTCACTAAATAAAACTTTTCGAAACACATAATAATAATCATAATCACAATAAAAATAATAAACGAAACAAGGGTACAACATAAATGTGAACAATATGAAAGAAACGTTTACACAAGTTATTCATACAGAATGAATTTAACCTCTTAAATATTTAACTATCTTTAATCTGAATAAAGTATTGACCAATATGTGAGAGATTATTTAAACACCCTTTGGTATGAAATATCGTATATAAGATTGTAATGTTAAACTCACCATCATCTGCGGATAATTTATTCAGCGAATCCGAAGAACCCATTTTCTGTCCGCCGTCGCTCTGCAAACAATACAAGAAAATATACAATTAATTTCTTGTACCTCTGTATTATGTGAAAATATTCAACGCATAACTTTTTACTTGTAAATAATTTCGTTAATGAAATTTTGAAAATCATAATTGGAACCACTCAAAACAAATTGTTATCTTACAGTGGTTATAAAGATTATATTTTAAGAGTACGCACGTGGATCACTTAAATCATCTAGTATATAAAAAAAACAAAAAGGATACCACAGCCTTCTAAATTAATTTTGAGTTTCTCGGTATGCAAGTTTGGATGGGAGTTATTAAAGAAACTGTTGTCGCCGTTGTGTTTTTATTTAAATAGGAAGACGTTTTAAGAGATCTTTTTTTTTTGCAGAGATTCTGCATAGGGAATGATCCGGAGTTGTTTTGTTTTTCAAGTTTATTTACATAAATAGAGTTATATTGTTGATATATTTTTTTCTGGTGTTCGGTTTAAAGAACATACTGCAGTACTTTTTGAAACTCACCTCACTCTCATACTTGATCTTTTTCAAGTTGCCATTGCTTGTAATGTTAAGGTTTTCCGAGCTTCCCCGTCTAATAAGAAAAGGACTCGGTCTGACTGAGGGTTTGCACCTCGAGTCGCTCGACGTCGAGCTGACGTCGCTGCAGCTGTCCTTAGCACTGTTCGTGTGGTCCCTGTCATCTAAATTATAGTAATAGGTAGGCTTGAAGCATTGCACCGTAGATCCTCCGATGGTATTCCTACCATTCTCCACGTTGATTGGTCGCGAGAAAACGTTCGACGCGCTGTGCGTTTTGGTGATCGTCCTCTGATCTCCTGCAGGATTCACAGCTAATGACAGCCTCACGTTACTCGCAGACGAGCTTATTGGATTCGTCCTCATCTCAAGACTGTTATTACTGCTCGTCTCCGGCTTTCTAGGTCTCTGCAGCTGCGACTGCGTCTCCTGGATGAAATTCTCCACCCGCCTCCTGAAGTCCTCGTTTCCCTTCTTATAATTGAATGGCGCATCGTGCAAGTTCTCCTGTATAAAACTGCCTATCCTCCTTCTGCTTTCATCCTTGCTGGCTTCTGAGACCCGTGACGCTCCACCTTCCATTTCCGTCACCGTCGTTGGTATTATATTTGGTTTATGTTCACTTGTACTCTACGATAGATAAAAAAAAGGTTAATAAATATATTGTAGTTCATTAATGTTTTTTTCAAACTTACTTCTTTGAGATCAGTTTTGTTGCTGTTTCTAGTGTCGACATTGCTGTGTGTAATGAATTCCTTGAAACCGTTCGGCGAGGACGCATCTGTCTTGGTCTCTGCTTTCGTGTTTTTCCTCTTATACTTGGACGTCCACGATTTGCGCATCTTATGGTCTTTTGTGTGTCCTGCGAATCATTTTTTAGCTATGAATTGAAGCGTCTTCTAAAGGCGTGCGGGACAATTTGAGACTTACCTCCCACTTTACTAATGTTGTCTTTGAGCAACGCCGTGTTGATTTCAGGCTCATTCGTAAATATTTCCCCGGTGGCAATCGGCGCTGGAAGCTCCAGATCTTCGCCCTCGTCGTCGGCGAAGAACCAATCAGCCTATATCAATAAAATAGAATTAGTATTGCGTACATTTCGCGTAATTAGTATGGCTTACGTGTGTAAGTAGTGATTCGACGATTTTGCATTGATTGGTCATATCAGTGACCATGGCTTCCATGTCATTGCTACAGGTCCGTACTATGGTAGGGCCGAAGACAATTGCCAGATTCTTCACTTCCATCTTGTTCGAATCCGAATGCTCCGCGACCCGCTTTAAGTGCATTATCAGATGCCTGAGTGTGTTGTAATTGTGTGGTGGAAGGCTCTTAACGAGCCTTCGAATCTCGTTCACTCTGCTTGTCGGATCTTCGATCTTATCGGCTTCAACGAAGTTCGTGTATCCCACGGAGGTAACGAGGGGATCGGGCATTTTACGGAAGAACGATTTGAGCAGACTGCTGACGACATGGATGTCCTTCCATCGCTCATCGATTTGGGGAACCTCGTCGTAACACTTGTTCACTTCTTCGGTCAAGGCCGTAACTGCTGCACTATTACCCGGCACCCTGTAGATACCGACTATTTCGAGTCCTTTCCTCTCCACAATTTCCGTGCACGTTTCGACTAAACGCGGAACACACGAATTGTACCGCGATGGAAGACAGTGTTCTAGTGGGTTCCCGAAAGTTGAACCTTCCGGAGCGGTCGGCGAGTTCGGAGAGCTCGCGCTCTGGTGAATCCTCTTCAGCTGCTTTGAGAACCTGCCTCGCCATGTTTTCGATTTGGGACTGGTCGAGGGGTCGTTGATCTGCGACGGTTTCCTCGTTTTGGACACCGGTGACTGTCCGGTCGGCGAGCGGTTCCGAAGACTTGTCAGCTTCGACTTGGTCTGCGGCTCTTGAATGCTGGTGGTGGCTGGGATGGCCTGAGGCATCGCACGCTGTTTATCGGCACCAGCGATCTGATTCTGTCGATGAAACAAACGATCAGTGATATTATTTTCGATTTTGCTCAGTCGAAAGTGCAGAAAGATAAATGATAAGGCCGACTTCCTTATCACCGCTATAACCACTCACCAATTTCGCTTCGATTTCGGTGCTGTTCGCGCTCTGCTCCTGGAAAGCCTGAAACCATTCCGCCAAATGCGCCGGGTTTTCTGCTTGAAGTAGTAGCTCTGATCTGCACGGTATCACAGAGGACAATCGAAGGACATGCTTTCTCTTCGTGTAATCCCCTGCAACCTGGACGCAACTTCCTCGCAAATCTACACCGCTTGCTAAGCTCTGGTCCGCGACCTCTGATGTGCCAACTGGACTCTGCAATGGACAAAATGAAACTATACAGTGGCCGCGATAAACCATACAACACTCTTCGCGCTAGTACGTCAATATTGGAATTGACTTTATCTTGAAAATGGTAGGAATTTTCGAACACATTACGCCCCGCCGCTCACGTAATGATGATGCGAACGCGCATCTAAACGAAGACATCAAAACCAATTCGCGCGCGCGTTCTCCCATCATCATCTCCAATCATACCATATTACATTGTACCATTATACTCGAGCAGAACTAGAGATGATATCACGAAGTAAGTGAATCATCATCGACTTTCGCTAAATTAAAACCGGATCCGATGCGAAACTCATTTATTAATTGAATTATTTCGTTTTCGACGCCAAGGCCGGACCAACATTTTAAATTCCTTTTAGGGATAGGGACTCTCACACAAGAATCCCGCTAATTTCTGCATTCAAAACTGGACTGGACGATTTTCCTTCGGCCTTGGGTCGAATTGCAATCGCGACGTTTCGCAACAATATCGGATTCGTAGTAAGAATGACCTTAACCAATTAACAGAAGAAGCCAATTTGTATGTATATAACTCGAAAGTTCCATGACACTTTTACGATTCAGTGCATTCACGAAAACCTAATCAACGGCTTCTATCCAATTAGCACCTAATAACCACAACAGCTAAAACTTTCCCAGCGTTAAACCCACTTTTACGTCATTTATAGTACGCATGTTATATTTTGTTTGTTCTAATCCTGCCGTTACGTTAGGTAACTTATATTACCATCATTAATAGCAGTATATGCGAATTCTGTAATCTAAATTCGAGAAACTTTGAAAGAAATTACCATCGAACAAATAAAATTTTTGTGCAAAGACAGTTGGGGGCTAATAATAGTGCATCGCATTCTACAAATAAATGTGTTGACTGACCGCAAGTTTGTAATTATCTTTTGGCCACTATCCATTTCGTCGAAAATTCGATAAGAAGAATTCAGAGAAATCCAATATTCACAATCATTATTTCAACCCATGAGGACAAGGAATTTACAAGCCGATCACGTAGTAACGAGCTTGCAGGGTTTCGTTATAATAAGATGAAAAGGATGAAAATAACGTTAACATGCATTCGTTAATTGGATTAACAATATGATGCATATTGTTTGCACTTTGTAAATATTAAGAAAACTACGTGAAAATTTTATCATCTATCCGTGCTTAGTCAACAGGCGCCAAAATTGTAAAATGCAATATTTGCTTAGCAATTTTCTGGGACAAAAAATTACTAATCGGATTCAATCAATTCACGCGTTATCGGAATATTGAAAGTCAGTTAACGGAATATGAATACTTTGATTGGCTAATTGAATGATGAAAAGGAGGTTGCATTTGAATAATACGGCAATATTGAAACCTGAACCGCTCGTTAAATGGATCTACTTAGCAGAAAGATAACGTTCGGTGAAATACACTGCATTAGCATTATGATCGCTGATAATGCGGATGGCATTAGAACTGTACAATTTGAGAATCGAGAGGAAGAGGAAACTTTGCAGAGCGCTGATGATAATGATGGTGGTTGTACGTGTGGGCCGAAGAAGAAACCACCGGCTTTCTAAATACGTCCACGGGAACACTCTGCATATGCATTAGTATTCTCAAATGTAATGGCAAGTTTATTGGCCATCCGTGTGCCGCAGAAGGAAACCCCGGCCGACAAACTGTAAATAAAATTTTAAAACCACTTCCTTTTTCAGAGCCAAATCGGAAATCTCAACCGGTGCAAAAATGAAATGTCAGAAATATCGTTTAACACTGCTGATACCGTACATATTCCAAGCACTAATTCGCATTGCATAACAGTACACAACATAATCAAGATATGAAAATTAATCAATGAATTGCATTTCTCAATAAATTTAATACAAATAGATCAAATTTGTATAAATATTTTTATTTATTTATTTCAAAATATTAAATCGTTATCGTTCAATGCACTAATAATTATTTTTAAATATTAAATCAAATATATTATATGTTTTTTTCTTTCAATTAATGCAATATTTGAGTAAAAATAGTTAGCGGTTAAGAGAGAAAATACTGCGATAAATGAAACCACGATAAAGCTTTCGATAACCGACCCAACTTTTGTCACTAAACATATTCTTGCAGAATAATATATGATCTATGATATATCCTATATTTTCTATACTTCAGATTAATTAAACGTATTTATTAAGAGATTATCTGCAATTAACGTAACATTAATGTAGAAATGAATTGGCAATTAAATCGGAGCATAAGAAAAATTGAATGATAGATGACATATATTTCCATAATAAAATCGTTTGAGTTCTTGGATGTTGAGCGGAGACCATTTTTCATTGTTTACATTTCCATGCAAATGCTATGTATCCAGGTTAAACGAGTTAATTCAGCATTATGAAGAAGAAAAAAATCCAATTGCAACTATTAGATCATACGGATTAGAAACTGTACCACATAAGATATAATAATAATGTGTTCATATAGCAGAGCCATAGCACGTAACGCATTCGGAGCATCGATTACATGAATCCTACTTAACATTTAAATTACAGTTTTAAAATCACTTTTATATATGAGATCTGCTCTTTTGATTGAGTTTTGATTATGTTAATTCATGTAAATTGGCAATATTCTGTTTATATATGTATTAATAAGCTTTAAGATGTATTAAAGTTTAGTCTACTTTTTCGGCGTTTTGATTATTTAACTCTTGATTAATTCTAATATTTTTTATTCTTAACTATATCAATAATTTTATTTTGAAATAAAAATTGAAACAATTTTTTAATTATACAAATTATTACAGCGTTTTCTTTTAATATGTTATATTATAGGGCTTCAGATATAAATTGATTAGTTCTTACAGTTTATGCTATTTTCTAATATTCTGCTCTTAGAATATTTCTACTTAAATCAATAAGTTGTTTTTAATGTGAGTATTTTGATTATTATATTATAAAATAATTAAACTTTTTTCTAATGTTTATGTTTTTTTTCTTGGAAAGAAATTATTGTGAAGTTGATTATTTTATTTCCTTTTCACTAATTTAAAGCTATGCAGTATGTTTATTGATATTTTTATAGTATTCTAATTTAGATGTGTATAAATTGTTTGTTGTGATTTGAAGTTGTTTTACCCATGAGCCTGTTGAGCCCCATCGACGTAGTCTTCTTGGGAAGATGGCCTGACTGGGGAAATGCAGATGGAACTGGAACGAAGGTATGCAGGAGATGGTCCCGGACCGTTCCCGATGGTGCAACCCCAGAGCGGAATGTTCGAACATTTTTTTGCACAAGAAGTTTTAACTCAAATCGAAGAGAAGAACCGGAGAGGAAAAGCGAGCGCGCGCGCTCTCTCACCTCCTTTAGATACAAGTTCTAAATATAAACATTAAATAGCGAAATTATAACAGGTCGAACTAGATTTTCAGGTATCCGCGCGCATTGGGTAGTACCGGTACCGGATAAGAAGAAGCTGGTGGTGTCCAGGAACGACCGAACCCACGCACCGAAGCCGAAGACCGAGAGCGACAAGCACACAGGCTCTCTAGAATTATAAAGAACTGGAATGGATGATGATGATGCCTTTCGCGAATCGAATCGTACCGGGACACTGGACTCGACTGGACTGGACTAACCGAAGAACCGAAGGAAAGTGAGCGAGGTGGCGGCGCGCCGTCCCCCAACGCGCGCGGCACGACCATAACAATCCGTTCAATGAAAAGTGGATTATTACACAACGCACATGTGTTAAGTCTAGCGCATCAATTTGGCAAGGAACAAAAGGCAAAAGGCTGCACACCTCCTTGGCGCGTGCCAGTTGTTTCTAATTAACCAGTACGCCACCACCTGAAAACATTCCTTTCGTCGCGGACCTCTTAACTTGGCTCATTGCTATTCACCCTCCACAAAACCGATGCCTAAATAACAATACCGAAGAGCACTTGAAGACCTTCGCTTTTCTATTCATGGCTCTCGAATGCCCCGGGGATTCAACTAATGTACACATGTCACTCTTGCGACATTTCTTTTGCTACCATAGACTCATCGTCACCAAATCCATTCCAAGTCCTTTCAAATACAACATTATTACATCCAATAGAAACTAGTAACTTCTTTATATTTAATTCAGTTTCACACAGCTTTTTCGAGCTTTCTACATTTACTCATGAACATATAAAATTCACCGAATTCTTATGAAGATTCCGAAATAATTACCAAGAATTATGTCTACCTAATCGAGAGAAGGAAATAACTATTGCAATATCTAAAGAGTGAATACTAATATTCCAATATATTTTATAGATTTTCGATAAAGTACAAATTAATGACTGTAAGTTATAATCTGAAGATAAACCAATTTCTAACCAATATTGAATTATCATCTACCTCATACAAAACTTTAACTAAACTTGAAAAATATATAAATTTAATCAATTGTATATCTCCCAGAAACTGATAAACATATAGCAAATTTCTATAAAATATTTGTATCTAGCTCATAGGAAACTCTTTCTAATATATATGTGTCACGGTAAAAGTATACATTTCCCGGTAAATGTTTACGTTTACCGATCATGTAGGTAAATGTAAGTATAAATCTGACAGCAGCGTCATATATCTACATTTATCGGTAAATGTTTACATTTACCTACATATATCGGTAAAAGTTGAAAATAATAAATTTGTATATCAAGGTTAGGTTAGATCACCAGCAAACAATTTGTTAGGTTCAAAATAAAATAATTATGTGTAAAAGTATATAATTACCGGGAAAAGTATACATTTGCCGATTTTGTACTTTTACCCTAACATATGCATTATAAGATTCGCATTAGTTTTTAGTGTTCAATTTTGAAAAATTCTATAAATTCTCTACTAGTTGGGTAGAATACATTTGATATTGTATGGAATGCACACCATACATCGATATTACCAAGTCGTTATATAATAGTTTGTTGTATACAAGATCATTATGTTTTTATAATTTACCGTAACTAAACTAATCCAATTGATAACTCTATTCTACGTCATCTCTACGTAATGAACAATGCAACGATAGATAAGACAATATTTGCTGACATTAGCAATCTATTACAATAATTGCATTTCCAAGAGTTCAGTCTCTTGTTGTAAAAATAGAAACAAACTTATAAATTCTAGACGGAAAGACATATTTACAATGATTCATGCGTTTTTTCTTTCACACGCTTTTAAATATGTTTGTGTTATAATAAAATTGTTGCAATTGTGATCGTCGTTATTTTCATGAATCAACGACAAAAATAATAAATTTCTTAAATACAATATTAAGTGGAACGATGATGACTCACGACCGATGTGATTTTTTTTTATTGAGATACAAATGAAAACTGTCACCAGAATGGTAATTTCGTTTAATTGCCAATCCCGAAGTAATTTACATAATCTCGAATAGTTTGTAAATGAATATTTATTATAAATAAAATAAAAGTTAATTTAAAAAAAAATAGATTGAAGATATAAATAAATACATGAAATATTTATGTTTCGGGCCCAGTATTAAAATGTAATTTATATTTTATATACTTGCATCGAATATCGTTTAATTATCAAGTTCTTTCATTTTTTTTTTGCTTGTAATTCGACGAAGTGCCGAAAGTAAAACATGAAAAAAACGTATAAGAAAAACCAGTTCGACTGGAACTGTGTACAAAATAAAATTACTTAAGCAAACGTAATGAAACGAAATAAATTACATAAATTGTATTTACATCGCGCCGTATATTTTTTTTTGTTAATTTATTTCGTTCGAATTAAATGAATAATTCTGTAGTAAATGAAAATCCTTCACCTCTTAATAAACGTAGAGTTACTTACAAATTATCCCGCAGATTAAGCAATACACTTCACTCGATTATGTATTTCGAACTGAGGCAACTGCACGAAAGACAACTGCAGGTTATTAGGTTGAAGCAAACACAACTACTAATGGGTAAACAGTTTCGAAAATTGCGAGTTCTAAGGAAACTAGTCTCGTGCAAAATCTCCAAGCGAAATGATTATATCCAGCGATAAGATAACAGATTTTCAAGAAAAAAATGAACAATATTATTTGGAATATTTATATAAGACTTAAAGATAATATTTCCTATAGAAGTTTTGTATTTATTTTATTTCTCTACTTGTTTGCTTCCAGGTATGATTCAATTTGCTGTTGGTTATTTTAATTGCTAATTAGACTACTTATAGTTTCATTTGTACAATTAAATTTCATTAACAAAAATTTTGTTAATTAGTTTAGTTCGCTTGCGGGGTTAGAAAAGTGAACCACAACACAAAATGCAGAGCGTCCTAGTTTTGGCGCGGATTGCAGGAAATAATAATAAAAAAAAAAGAGTATATAATATAATGATACAAACCGCAGCGAAAGGGAGAATGAATCGAAATTCAGAATAGGAAACGAATGTTGTTTAATTGCTTCAATATATATATATATGTATACGAATCGAAAGTTGGCAATTGTTGAACATTGTTGTAAATGGACGATAAATCAGTCACCGAAAAGGGTATAATTTGGGTGAGTAATGTAATGTAATATAATGAAGGTCCACACCGGAATGAGATCGAAATAAAACGCCGTTTATGGTGAGTGAGGCGAGTCCTTTTCGGAAAAAAAGTCTTCAGATAAGCATCGGCGCTGAAGGAGAGAGAGAGAGAAACGAGACAAGACAAAAAAAAAAGAAACAAGAAGTACACATAATAACACAAGGAGTCGACGAAGAAATTAAAGAGACCGCGTATATGCAAAGTAACGACCCCATTTAGTACCATATGGTCCTGGCAAACCACAATTAAGGAACGGCATTAAAATTAAAATAAACGCGCACAGGAATACATACATAATAATAATAATATAGACGTAACGGACACACGCGCTTACGCAAAACTTAATTAGTTTCGCACAATGCTATTAATAAAGTCGTGTGCGTTTTTCTTCGTGTCGCCGTTCTGTCGGAGGTGCGACCTCTTGTTTACCACAAAACAGCACCATTTTTGTACTTAACAGTGCGTAATGTCATCTCTCCGCTGCGATCGTAAAAACGTTATGTATGTATGTTTGTAAAACTGAGCGAATTATTTTTTTTTGTTAATGCACACAAATATTTCATCCAATTTGGATGCTTGACCTTAACCAATAAGGAGATTTCTTTCACGTCCCAAAAAAAATTATATATTATTTATATTAAATTTGAAAACGTTTGGCCTAGAAACATATTTTCATAGCAAATCGTCCAATTAACAGTAATTTAGCTCAAAAATTTGTCTGTAATTATTGAAAATCGAAATTTGGGCATAGCCATTATATATTAGAGAGTTATTGCTTTAAGACAAGACAACTTTGTTTTAGGTTAATCTTACTTATTGATGAAATTTAGGTCAATACAATATTCAAAATTATGTTTAAATTCAATTTGATGATTTCCACGAGCAATCTGCAATTATCAAAGAATTCAAGCTAAATTTCATGATTTGAACATTTTGGTATATGCTTTAACTCTTTGAGGGCCCGGGTACACGCATTGTCCCACCTTTTAAACATGCATAGTAAGGTATTATTATAATTTACTAGAAAATTTATAGGAAAGAGGAATTACCATATAATTTGGTTGGTGATGAATCTTGATAGTCGAAGTTGTCTGATTCAATTCTCTAAAAAAATTGTCGGGTCCAGAAATTTAGGAATTTCTGACAATTAATATGTAGATGAAAATGCCAATAGTATAGATTTGTATTATCAATTAATCTAAAATTAGTTTCAAACTAAATTTGATCGTTTATCTATTAATTTGAGAAACTAATTGAATATCTAGAATAGATATAGAATAGATAAATAATGTCAATTAAAAATTGAGTTCACCAATCAATTGATAATCAATGTACATAATTTAAAGTATAGTAAGGTACTACATAGATTACCATTATTTAATTATTTTAAAACTTAATTCAAACCAAATTGATGATAGATTGCCACAAGTCTAATATTTCCAATGGAAAATCCCATCAGAAGATCAAAATTACCAATTAATTTAAATTCAAATTCAAATTTTATAATAAGATTAACTTAAAAGAAGATAGAATTTAATGTGAGATATGAACTGTCTATATTCAAAAAAAAAAAATTGCGACCCCCTAAAGAATGTGTATGCGTAGATAAACTTCACGGATTGATCTGTCATCAATTTTTCTGAGACCCCTCAAATATTTATCGCGACCCCCAGGGGGACCCACACTTTGAGAATCACTGAATTAGAAGAAGAAATTAATTTAATAATAGATTTCCAGAAATGTGTAGTCTGCAAAGATATGTTTAGCATTATTTTAATAAATTTAATAAATGTAAGTTGAAAAATAAATTATATTGAGACAAGACAATTTTATAAATTAGAACAGCGTTTCTCAAACTTTAAGGTCCACGACCCCCTTTTGCAGATAAATTTTTTTCCCCAAAGAATGGGTATGTGTAGAAAGACATCACGGATTGAGCTGTCATTAATTTTTCTGAGACCCCCAAATATATTTCGCGACCCCCAGAGGGACCCACACTTTGAGAATCACCGAATTAGAAGAAGAAATTAATTAGTTGTTTCGAAAGAAAACCTATACAAGATTCGATTCTTAAAAAAAAAAGAATACGAGAACTGGTGCAACTGAGACTGAAATAATTAAAAGGAAACCGTCTGCAGACAATAAACATAAAAAAAAATAATGACGAGTGAAGATTTCTACAACATAGTATATTATAAAGCGCAACTTTCCATCGTTTCGCAATGCAATAATGAAGCAGCATCGTATCCTCCAAGAAGAAGAAAAAAACACAAAACGGAAATAATCCTGCGATTTCCTGCGAGATCATCGCTCACCACCGAACGTATTAATCCCAACGCACCGCAGATTAACACCGGAAATGGTGGCGCAACGAATTATCAGATTTTCCTTGCGCGCAATTTCATAACGGAACAACAATTCACACACACATACTTGAAGTTACGCAACGCCTTACCGATAAGACGTCGTCGCGCAATCAGAATTTGAAAAGCACCATTCCATAACGTAATTCAAATTATCGCTGAAAAGGGGAAATGCAAATAACGGAATGAAGAACCTTACATAAACACGATACGTTTAATTATCTTCATTTGCATTAGGTAATTCAAGTTAATTATTTTTTGTTGTATATATTTTGTAGAAACCTTGTGTTTGTTTTGAATGTATTTGCTTTTTGTTCAGTTTCGAAAGTGAATTGCTTTTTGGCGCAGAAAATTTATTAATTTATTGTTTCACTTCGCAAGTATAGAAAGAAACTTGGAACAAAGTTATCATTTGTTTTCACCTCAAACCGGTGAACGGATATATTTAAATGCACGATTTGAGAAACCATGCTTCATTATTTTTTTTTGGCATTCGCACAACAAAAACAAAGCAAAATCACGAGTTTTGTACGTAAATACGCCGATGATAATAGAGTTACCGAAAACAAGTAGTGAATGATAAAATGCGATGGTCGCAGGTCCTTGATTAAATAATTATGTTATTGTTATCGGCAGTTTATCAAGATTCAAATTGTTGCAAACAAAAATAGCGATAATTCCGATTAAATCATGATTTAAAGTCGCGTCTGCTTCAATTAATACACACTAATATCACCTGATAATGTTTACGATTAATCCTTGGAATTTCAGAAATTACATAAATTCGTGTGTAAAACTTATTTTTTTTTGTATTGTTAATCAATTAATAATGGTAAAAAACAGCAGTTTTTCGGTTACACATAATTGCAAAGTCGTGATATGTCAAAAATATTAAGTAGTTTGCATAATTATATTTACTATGCAAAAAAAAGTTTTCAATAAAATCGATTTAAAAAAAATAATAACTTACCAGGTGATGTCTGTCTTTGTAGAGGAACAACTTGGGACCTTTAAGAACAGCCCAAACTTGCTTCCAAGAACGATCTCCGAATCTCTGGTAATTAAAAAATAATAAAATTAAATAAAGTGTAAGAGGCGATTTAAAATGAGAGTAGAAATAAGAAAGTGGAAGAATCGATTTCCTCGGCAAAGCCGATACTTCTAAATTTATTTAGAATAATTATGGAAGTGAAAGAGAGCAGCAAGCAGCACTCTTTTGTTTTCTTCCTTTCGATTCTTTATTTCTTTATTTCCTCCGTCAATTACCTTTCCATCGATTTCGGTGATTTTGCAGTGCAGCAATCCCTCTTTCACGAAATAGGCCTTCTCTTTTTCGACCGGAAGGACGCAGGAGGTGATTTTCTCCCGTTCCAGCGAGACGCTGCTGCTGCTTCCGCCGCTCAAGCTACCGCTGCAACAAAGATCGAATAATCAGCATCGTAACAATGGATGAGACGTCATTCGGATTAGAAGCAAACCAGAACGAACGTTAAAATTGCAAGAAACAAACAAACAATCAACAAACAAATAATAAAGAAAACAAGACACTCAGAGAACACAATGCAAAAACACATCAAAACTAGTAGTGTATAAAGCGCGAGTATGATTGATGAAGCACCAACGATTCTTGTGTGGGTTATAAATTATTTTCGTTTACAAAATTCGCAACAAAAAAAAATCGCTTTTTACATTCCTCTGTTAAAGAAGCGAAGGTAAAAGAAATCGGACAAAAGAATTATTTCGCGTAATTAAATCATCATCATCGTCGTAATTAAAGTCCGGTGAACGTGATTAATACGACATTCGCAGCATGCGCAGACATTTTCACAACACTCAATAAATAATTTAAAAAAATCCAAAACGAGAAGAAAAAAAAACGCCGGTTGCAATCCATTAATTATCATTCGCGAAACGTTCTCGTTATCCAACATATAATTATTTATATATAAATTGTGCGCCCTAATTTCGAACTCTTAAGGGATTCCTTACGCAATCCAATTCAAGCGGAGCGCGATTTTGAAGTACGTGAACTGCATTGTTACATTGTTCGCGTTTCTCATCGAGACTGGCGCTTCTTTTTTTTAGCGATTTTTGTTTTCTTATTTTCTCGAATCTTATCTGCATCCTCCTTTATCGATGATTACGCGACTGTACGAGTGCAAATCGCTTATCGTTTCAGAAAAAAAATTGGGGATTTAAGCAGTTCTACGAAAGGTGTTTTTTGAGGATTATCTTCAATGGCGCTGGAAAAGCGCGACTGCCTTTGGATAAAGTGATGATAAACATGAGAAGAAGGCATTGCCTCGGAAGTGCACATTGCCCAACTTGTTTTGATCGTTCGAAGGAGGACCAATGAACCTTCGAGAATGGCTTTACGCAAATTGAACAAAAAAAAAGCATACACACCTCGCGCGTATTTCCTGCGCCTAGACCGTAACTTCGGATTTAGGAAATCCAATTGCGACAACGTTAGTGTTTTTTTTTCCTTTCTGTAGATTCATTTGTTTTTTCCGCAATCAACAGCATTTTTTACCCGACACGCGTAATTATTATTATGTTTGTTTTGTATAATGCTGCTCGACTTCGAGCAAAACAATCGTCATCGCGTTCTCACTTTCACCCTGGCATTTCACTTGACGCATGCACCAAATCTTGTATATATATATACAAATATACCGGGATATTTACGCAACGTCGATTTTTCATCTTCGCGCGTTTGTTTTTTTCTTGCGTTGCGGCAAAACGCGGAAAAGCTTAATCGATTATTACTATTGGAGAACACCGGGTTCGGAAATTATTGGAAAACACCCACGGGGCTCCGACGCCCACGACACCTTTCCAT